AAATAAAACAAGGATCGGGTAAATAGCGACGGTCCGTAGATAATTCTGTTTTGTTTATCACTGCCGCGGGAAATGCGATTTCGTACGCCACCGACTGACGCGATTTGTTTTTATATTCAACGTATTTCCCGCCCGCGCTTCTCCGCGCGGTTATGTATGTGTAATTCAGCGGCATTCTGGTGCTCCTGCGGTATCTTGTGCGCGCAAAATACGCGGATTATCGATTACCACCCTTGAAATGCGGATCCGGCCCCTCTAATTAATGATTTTATTTAAAGCCGAACGCGAAACCGACATCGATACCGACTCACTCATCAGCGATTTTCAGTACATACGTTTTGGAGCAGCGTCCTTGGAAAGGATCGTTACTCCGGTCCTTCGTCTTTATCTAATAGCGATCTTTTATTTCAAACGACGACGTGGTGCGTCTCATTCGCTAGTCGCAACCACGGCCGGCATTTAGGTGTGGCGAGATCGTCATCGCCATTTAATTAAATCGGAAAACCGGATAGTCATTAATGACAAGTGGCGCCCAATCGCGATGACTCCTTCATTTTTATTCATCCCACGCTGGGCGGGCCCAACCGCGAGGATCGGGACCGCTCGCAGGGACCCTCTCGATGGCACCTACAACGACAATCACAGTTGGCAAAAAGGCCCATCGTCGCCGTGCGGAACACACCGCCCCCTCAAATCTTATCGATCGCACAGAAAGAAATCACGTAATGGATCCCGGCTGCGACGACTTTCTCATCGGCACGCAACAAGAGATTATCTGTCGTTCCCTCCAAAATCCTTCATCCCGAAGAGAGAGAGAGAGAGAGAGAGAGAGAGAGAGAGAGAACTTTTCGAGTCGTTTATTAATCCTCAATCATCTGAGACGATCATAATATCTGCTTTTGAGATTTTGAATCATAATAAAGCTTTTAAATTAATCTTGTTCACTCGCTTAAAAAGAATGTAACAGACCTGTCGCAGTTTTCTCTTTTTCTTTCCTTTTTCATCAACAGTTTTATAACTTTTTGTTTAATTTCACATACAAGTCTTATTTTTGTAAAATTCCGCAGATTTAATTTAATGGAAATTTAATTAGCAAACTGCAGAAATAGCCAACGATCCAATTTCGATGTGAAAAGGTCGACTTCAAATCGTAAATCAAGCAATAAACAAACTTCACAATCGAAATACACACAAATGACGTTAAAATATCTAAAAATCTAGTTAAATACAGATTTTTTATAATTTTGTTGAACCATCGAAATAATTATGTAGGAATCTCAAGCAGTGTTGCCAAAAAGTTTTGACATTCTAGCAGCCAGTTTTGAGCGTCTTATATAATTACTTTGATATTCTAAAAAAATATTTTCAGATTCATTATGTCTATCTAAATTTTTAGATACCTTAGCAAAATATCTTCCGTATATAATACAATGATACTCATAAATAGCTCATGTTTATGGGCATGTGCATCACGATTGTATGACGAAGCATAAACAACATGTATCTAAATTTATTGCAGTGAAATCTCACTTCGAGAGAATGAAAATACAACCGTCCTTGAGAAAATATTTCACTTCCTGAAAAGGAATGACAATTTTCACTCTTTTTAGAGTGAATTTTCACTTCGAAGGAGGCAAAACATCTCACTCCAAAACAAGTGAAGTGAAGGGTGGTTGTATTTTCACTTTTCCTATTAGAATGAGATTTCACTGCAAAAAACTTAGTGTACTTCCTAAAAAAAAAAATCATGTTAACTCAATCTCTTATCATTCGTATATGTACATTCGTAAACATTCGCGAACGAATATCAATCGCACTGGCGATGGACACTTTCGTTCGTCTCGTCCGACAAGTGCAAAGTTCATGGATTGATGAAGGGGGAAGGGAACGGAGGGGCAGATAGAAGAAAAGCATTAGCGCGCAACACGTTCGATTAGCATTTTCGTCGTTATGCGAAACATAACCACCGCTGCGATCCGCGATACGATCTGCGAGTCCACACCAAGTCTGCCGGGGCTATAAGGAGATCCATAAACTTTCGTGTCCCGAGATAGTAATCGTCAGGTGCGAAAAGCGTGACGGTTCTAGAGGGAAAGCGTTCGCTGGTCCCCTGGTTGGTATTGGATAGGTGTTTCCCCACGACGACGACAACGATGAGCGTGCGCACTCAATCGTCGCTACGTTCGACACCGTGTCCAAGAAAGCGTCGATGGTTTTTTATTTTTTATCTTTAATTTTTTTCTCCTTTTTTTTTTTTTTGCGCAACCAAGTGCGCGATTCCCGACCACGATTGCCGTAAGGCGACGAGCGGCCGATGATCCGCTTTTGCCTCATTAAGGAACGTTGCACTCAAGGTAACAATAAATCTCCGACGATGCTTATATCGATTTCACGACGATACGATACGTCGATTTGTCATACGTTTATCCGGCGTTTATTATATGAGATTTATCAACCGTCCGATCTCACGCGCCAACGTTCGTAACGTGGACTACGATTATTAAATTTAAAAAACGAGGGGGATGAGCAGCGAAGAGGGAATAAGTTAATGCAAAATGCTTTCGATAACGCCGCGTCGAGAAATCGTGATTCAATAGAGTCGAACCACCAATAAATAACCATATCGCAATGTAATGGTTCCGTTGGAATCCACGGCGCGCTCTCGGTGATTTTTACATGAATTTCCGCGTGTCTCGTTCCTTCTTCCCTTTTTTCACAGCAACGTCATGTCAAAATTAGTATTTTTTTTTTTTTAATTAGAGCTTTCTAGTTAATTAGAGTTTTTCTTTTTTTCTCATATGAAACGTATTATCGAGCGCACTCCTGATTTTGAAGTCGCATATGAGGAACTTGCGAGATCGTTGTTACATGAACATTCGTGGAATAGTTAATTAATCGTTACATGGCTGTTCTACTATAATTACTGTTTTAATATTAGAAATCTTGAAATATCCGTAATTGTGATAATATAATATCACTATATATAATAATTAAAACAGAGCCATATATCGTTCCCTACTTTAAAAATGACACAACTTAAGAAATTAAATTTTTCAGGAAAAGAAAAAGTTGTTTTTCATTTTAACAGAAAATTATTGATTAATCATTTAATATCAAAATTCTTAGAAACGTGATCAAATGTCATTTTTGCTATTTAAAAAAACCACCCTTTTTCAGTTCTGGCGATTTTGACAGCCTACAAAGTTATGAAAAATCCGTAATGACTCATCAAAAGTAACATAAACTCGGAGTATCAGCAGTTTATATTTACCTTGATAAACTAAAATCATTAAATCCAAAATAAAACGATTTTTTTCTCCAAACTTTAAACGTTTTCTATATGGAAGATCCTCCTTTTTAGTCATGAAAATAACACAAAATGTGTCATTCTTATAGAAACGTGTTTTTAAAAATTATGTCTCTTTAAAAATTTTAAGAATGACATAAATGCTATTTGATTGACGGACTGTGAAGTTAGTTTACATTTGATGATTGCTAGAATGATCTTCACCTCATAACAACTAAAAAAATCATATTTTTTTAATTGTCATTTTTGTAGTAAGAAAACGATGAATCATGATGATTAATAATATAATAAAATATAATAATGTAACAAAACAAACGGATACATATATATATCTTTTTATTCTACCACAAATGAACATGTATTGCTATATGTTCCCTTACGATTACACATTGCGAGTTCATTTATACGACGCACCTTGCATCGAACTACTTATGACCGTCCACCACCTTCGCAACATCAACTTTCTCCTCGAATATCAAAGTGCAACTCGAATCGGATTATCCACACAACTGCACTACAAAGTAGCCTGTATTAAGTTCTGGATAGTATCGTATACGTACGTGTGTGTACAACGGAGTGCATTATGCATCTCACTTTAATCTCAGTCATACACTTTAAAACAAATTGAGTTTCACGTGATTATGCACGTCTTAAGCAATGATGAAACGGTATATATATCATATACTTATTTGCGTAACATATATTTTCATTATTTCAATCTAGTAGTAGTAGAGGGAGAAGTATAAACAATCGATTTTTTTTTTATTTATCTTAAGTCTGGCGGATAGTTCTATTATTAATATAGTTTCAAAGCCCGATATACAAAATCGAACGATTGAATGAAATCGCATCGGGAAGATACCTGCGAAATACTGTTCTCTTCTTGTCGTGCCGGTAGCGCGCGCGGATGATCCTCGTACAAGTCGAGACAGTACGACGGTGGCGGCAGCAGCAGGTTGATGGATGCCAGAGTCTCATGAGAAAATTCGGATGGTGGGGATTCGCCTCGCGACTCATCACGATCGTCCTCGTATACTCGGCGTATAGTGGTGGCACGGTACTAGTGGTAGAAATGGTAGTACCGGACTGACGGTGCCGGTGTAGTAGTAGTAGTAAACGATAGTGGTAGTAGCGATAGTAGTGGTAGAAATGACGCTGGCGGTGCTAGTAGTAGGGTCGGTCGGAGGAGTGGGAGATGGTAGGTCCGGTCGCGAGGACGGATGGGGGTAAGTAAGTACCCTCGGTGCCACGGCGACCGTAGGTTGCTTCGACGATACCGGAGACAGAATCGGAGGGAGAAGGACAGAGAGGTGGTTGGGGGATAGGGGGACACTCTAGAGTCCGCTTGAAGGGACGACCAGGACGGAGGCGACGGAGTGAGAGAGAGAGAGAGAGAGAGAGAGAGAGAGAGAAATCGAACCGCGAGAAAGGGAGACGCGACACGCGAACGAGAAAGACGAGAGCATGATGCGGGGGTGGGAGTATCCAGAGCTAGGGACACTGGTGGGGCACGCGAGGGGGGCTGGACAGGGTGGGGACACGGTGGGAGAGGTAGGGACGACAGAGGACGTTTGTCCACATTCACTCACTGACACACACACACACATACACATGCGCGCTTGCACGCACGCGTGCACTACCGGCAAGAAGGTTCTTTTCTGACCTCTCTCTTTTCCACTTGCTTATGTTTCAGCGCTGGCGCGACTGTCAAACATCCACCACCAACAGCAGCAACAGCAGCAGCAACAGCAGCAGCAGCAGCAGCAGCAGCAGCAGCAGCAGCATGCTCAACAACAGCAGCGGCTCCACAGTAGTGGTGGTAGTGGTGGTGGTGGTGGTGGTGGTGGTAGTAGTAGTAGTGATGGTAGTGGTGGTGCGGGTAGTGGGGATGTCGTCTCCGGCCCTCGTTCTACTGGTAGGGAGGATAAAAGCGTCGTAGGGAGGGTAAAACACCCGGCATCGGTGACGACGACGACGACGACGACGGCAGCGGCGGCGGCGGTGGCAACGACGACGACGACGGCGACGGCGACGACGACGATGACGGCACCAGCGACTAGTAGTGCAGGAAGTGGAGGAGGAGGGGGTGGTGGCAGTGGTGGAGGTGACGGCGTCGGCGGCAGCGGCAGCGGAGGTGGCAGTAGTGGTGGTGGCAGTGACAGTGGTAGTGGTGGCAGCGGTACCCTCGGTGGGGATCGTAACGGCGGCGGTGGTGGTGGAGGTGGTTGTATCGGTGGTGGTGGCGAAGTCGCGGAGAAGGAGGAGAGGCCACCGGCTTCAGAGACTGTCGAGCCGACGGCCGCGTTTGACGTCGCATCCCTCGTACTCTACGGCTCGCGCGCACTGCCGATACGCCTTAAGATCTTGCTCGATCAGTTGTTCAACCAGTTGCCCCCCGCGCAAGTGACACGTATCCTAGCTGCCTTCGGTTGGACCCACGAGGATTACACGCGAGGATACATACTGCAGGTGAGTTGACACGTCGGATTCATGCAATTCGACACATTCGCGCTCCGTATAGAAGAACGTCGGTCCTGTCTCGCCGCGAGATGATAGTATATCATCGATAGACGTCCACAGTACACAATGCCACGCACATTCGCGCGATGTACAACCGACACAACCGAATAACGACTTGGACGCTCGCCGGAGAGACACGCGGTTGATGTTTCGCGCGC